AATCCTACTTGCTATGCAAAGGTTCAAGTCGTAGACACCTTTGTTTATGCACAATCTTAGAAACGTTTGACGTTACTTCTAAAATAAATTTTTTAAATTAAAGTGGGGGATTGTTGGAACATGTCCATGTTTCAATATGTTGAATTTAAAATTTTCTCAAGTCCCACATTGTTAGAATATTTTTTTGGTTGAAAAAACCATTTAGTCCCACATTGCTCATGTGAGAAATATTAACTATATTACTTCATTATATAAGGAATGCACATGTTTCATTCCAAATTACACCAAAAAACTATTCTGTTAGTTTTTCCTTCCTCACTCTCATAACTCTGTGTCTCTCGAATTGTCGAAGCGCCACCTTCTTCCCCTTTCTTCCTACTCGTTGAATTTTCCGAGTATTTTCTTGAGTTCTCTTTAGAGAATTATGTTAATTTCTCCTCATTTTAGTTGAGAAAATTTCAAGTTTAATCTTTTGGATTCTCTTTGGAGAATTATCTGAATTTATCTTTGTTGGAGAAATTATTATGAGTGGTCAAATGACCATTATTAATTTCTCTTTGGAGAATTATTTGAGTTTCTTTTTGTTTGAGAAATTATTATGACTGGTCTTTGTACCAGATACTATGAGTGGTGTTAATACCATATTTGAATGGTCTTGTACCATCAGAGGGTGTATTTCTAGACCGATTATCTATCATGCAAGTAGTAATCATACAATATAGAACTGGGTTGTTTTATCCTGGAGGCGGCGTGGTAGTTCGACTGCTTTGCATAATTTTGAGCAGTGCTGTGAAACGTCTTAAAGAGAGCGACCTAGTCCGCGACTCAACCTGGTAATTTCTTCGGTGGCAAATATTTTAAAATCCGAAACCAACAGGAGCAGAATCACTATCGTTGTTCCCTTTCGAAGAAGAAGAGTTTTGTTCATAGAAGTCCAAATGTCATAATTGAACCATATCCTTCTTAAAATGAAGCGTTTCTCATATGTTTTTCCATTTTTATTTATTTATTTTATTTGTTCTTTTAATTTTTATAATAAATAATAACACAAAAAAATGTTAAAATCTGGTAAGAGATGGGACTTAGTTGAGTGGATTTGATGTTCCTGGACTAAAATCATTGGGCTTTCGCTACCTACACCCCTAAGGCATGTTTTGATTTTTTTTTGCCTGAAGCTATTGAACAAAAAATTGTTCAGGACCCCAGTTGATTTGGGCTGAGAAAAATTCCTGAACCATACCCGTAGACCTGGCTCACACCCCATCCTGAGCCAAATAATTGGTTTTTTAGCTGAAGTGAGTAGTTATTGATGAACATGTGTTAGTGGACTGGGCCTAAATCGAAATTGCTCCAATATACCCCCCAGTTGCAGTTTAGCACCCCCTGACTTTTTCTAATTTATTTGGTTTTAAATTTTTATTTTTAGTTTAATTTTAATTTTTTTTTAATAATAAAAATAGTAATAGAATACATGATAAAAAAATAAAAAAAATATATAGAATTTAGGACTTCTCCTTAATTTTTTTATAATGAACTACAAAATCAATAAAAAAATTGTTAGACTTTTTGATTTATAGGGATTAATTCATGATTTTTTTGGTTACTTAAGACCCGCAATTCACCTTCGTTTGTTCAATTGAGTCTTATGCAGGTTCATTTTTGCTATGCAGACATGCTTGAGTTTCTGATTGTGATTTATTTTCACATCGATGATGCTTCGACATTTATTCTGAGCATTTGATCTCTGACTGTTTGTTTGTTGATGCCAGCTCGCGTGAAGTATTTTGGGTTTCTTTGCTTTGGTTGCTCTTTTTGCGGACATTCTTTTTCATTTGGTATTATACTGCTTTTAATTTATCTTTCCGCATTTTATTACTTTCTAGATATGATGTGAAGTAGGAAATAAATAGCGTGCGCTCGAAGTCGTTGTTTAAAGTCCTGTTGTGGGTACTGTTTTTTGTATGGTATTTGTGTTTGTTTAAAATCCTACCTTTGAAGTAGGTATTTTGCACGTGTGTTTACATTTGTGCCCGCATTATATTAAAGATGATAAGTCATCAAAAGGAGGCGAGCAGAGAGGGCCCGTAATCGACTCCCGCATATTCTTGTATGTGTTATCCTTAGCTTACGTTGTATGTTGTTGCTTCGAAGATGTGCAAATTTTGTGTGTCGAGTCGGTCATATGGACAAGGATTCACAACCAACCCCCACACTTTGTTAGGAGTTCGCAATGGCCATTGTTGATACTTCACTACCCGCTTGTTTGCTTCGGGTGATCCGCTCCCCTTAGCTAAAGCATTGCTTTTCTTTTTTTATTTCATTTGTCTCCCGCTTGTTTGCTTCGGGTGATCCACTCCCCTTAGCTAAAGAATTTATCTTGTTTCCCTCATCCCTTTGAGTCAGTATGTGCTACTCATGTTTGTATGCTTTTTCCAAATCACTTGTTTGCCTATTTATTTGCTATACCATGTTCCCTTAGAATAAGAATTTGTAAGATTCCATTAGGACCGCTTAATTAGAGTAACTTTCGATCTAGACATTAGGATAGTTATCCATGCATGCTAAGATATGGTAGAGATTTCCCTTTCCATCCTTAACATAGGGTCGTCATTTTATGATAACATTAGGTTAGAGATAGATTAACCTCCCTTAGATGTTTTCTTCCCATTTTTGCATAGTTGCATTTAAAACTTAAACTTCTTTTTTTGGGAAAAATTTATAAATCATGCTAAACATATAAAAATCCTTTTCATGGTAAAAAAAACCCCAACCAATCCATTTATTTTCGCCATTCGGCTTTTCTCTTCTAAGAACGTGTTGATTCCTTTCCACTACAGCGTGTAAGTCTCCAATGGTCGAGCAGCGGAGGGATGATTTAGTTTAACATAGTTCATTTAAAAAAATATAAACAAACAAAAACATGTGAGCCGAACTACGGCACTCTGATTCCTAAAAAAAGGATATGTAGGCATCTCGTCACAGGGCTCAGCCAAGCGAAAATTTGTAAGTATTTCCTTCTTTTCCCCATGTTTTCTTTGCATGCATTCCTTCTATTTTTATAGCTCTTAAGCATTAGATTGAACACACCCTTTTATTAGAACAACAAGAGTGGATCCCGTAGAGTAATATGCATGTGAGGGGTACTAATACCTTCCCCTTGCGTAATCGACTCTGTAGCGGTAAAATCAATGAATTTGCCACCGAGTACTTATTTATCCCATATGAAAGGGAAAGTAAAGCCATCGAAGAAAAACCTAAAGGGGGAAATCAAGGTCTTGCGACCGAGAGATTGGGTAAGGGAGTCGATTACGTGAGGGGAAGGTATTAGTACCCCACATGTCCATAGTACTCTACGGTATCCACTCTCGTTATTCTAATCAAAGGGCGTGTTCAATCTAATGCTTAAGGGTTATCAACTGAGAGGGAATGCATGCAAAGAAAACACGGGGAAAAGAAGGAAGTATTTACAAATTTTCACTCGGCTGAGCCCCGTGACCAAATGCCTACGTATCCCCTTTAAGAAATCAAAGTGTCGTAGTTCGGCTCATATATTTTGTTTGTTTGTATTTTTAAATGAACAATGTTGCATTCGATCATTCCACCACTGCTCGACCTTTGGATACTTATGACCTGTAGTGGAAAGGAGCTAACATGCTCTTAGAAGAGAAAAGTCGAATGGCGAAAAGAAATGGATTGGTTGGTATCTTTTTACCATGAAAAGAGTTTTTATATGATTAGCATTTCTTATATATTTGCCGAGAAAAAGAAGTTTTAGTTTTAAGTGCAATTATGCATACAAAAAAAAAGGAAGAAAACATCTAAGGGAGACTAACCTATCTCTAACCTGATGTTATCATACAATGGTGGTCCTAAGATTTGGATTAACAAAAAGGGAAACGTCTACCTAATGTTAGCATGCATGGTTTGCGATCTAAGGTCTAACTTGCGTCCAAATGGAGTAAGCGCATCCTACGGGAACATGGTATGTACAAGAATAAAGCAAATAAGCCAGTAAACTCAAGAGAGCACGCCTAGAGAGATCCTACCTAGGTTAGCATGCTAAAGAAATTCTAATAAAGCTATTCTATAGGGAACATGCAATGAGAGCGAAGTCGTGATCTCAATTTCTAAATTGAGTGACTCATCGATCAACAAGAAATAAAGAAAAGCGATAAAATCCTATAGGGAGCATGCACTGAGAGCAAAGTCGCGATCTCAATTTCTAAATTGAGTGACTCATCGATCAACAAGAAGGGAAGAAAACACAAGCACAACATATAACATAAATGAAGTGCGGAATGCCTGCTAAAGGTCTTTAAACAGCGACTTCGAGCGCACGCTCTTTATTTCCTACTTCTCATGATATCTAGAAATAAATAAATGCGAAAGTATAACTTAGAAGCAGTATAATACCAAACGAACAATAAATTCCACAAAAAGCGCAACCAAAGGAGAGAGACTCGGAATGCTTCGCGCGAGCTGGCATCAACAAACAAACAGTCAGAGATCGAATATTTGGAATAGGTGTCGAAGCTTCATCGATGTGAAAATAAATCATAATCGAAATCACAAGTGCATCCTCATATTGCACAATAAACCTGCATAAGATTCCAAATCTCAACAAGCAAAAGGTGAAGCATGAAGTATCGGAAACAAAATGATTATTTAAACATAAACCATAATAGAAAATTCTAACAAAATTCTAAAAGAAGAAAAAACTAGGGAAATTATATTATATTGCTAAAAAAAACAATTAACAAATTTTTTATTTTTTTCATTATTTTTGTTAACTAAATTTAAAGAACAAAAAAGTATTAGAAAAATCAAAAAATCAATTACAAAATAGAGGGGTGAGGAACCAAATGGTGTATTGCATAAGCAAAAAGGCGTAGAGCCCAAGCAGTGGTCCAGTAGGCATGTTTTTGTGTGTAGAATAATCCACTTGTAAGAAGAAAAAAACCACGGGCTTGTTGCTAAACATGATTCAACATGAGGCCCATTCAATCACCTATCCAAAGCTGATAGCTATGCTGACCACATTCAACATTTATCAGCAATTGAAAAATCAATAATAATATACAAAGGAAAAGATGATAAAACGGTGCGTTTTTCTTGAGAGGATAGGGTTCGTGGCCGTTGGAGTTCGATAGAGGAACGAAGAGTACTTCATCTCTCTTTCGCTTCAACCTCGACGGAGATATAACAACCTTCAGTCCGCCTCTAGTGAACCTTCTCTTCATCATCGATTCGCGATCTCCATCTAACTCTCAACCTTAAATGCGCTTCCTTTCTCGATCTTCTTCCCCCGTTCCAATCTTTGTTCGCCGATCCACCTATCAGCATCTTCGCGCGAATGCCTCTTTGACGAACTTCAATTCAACCATCTCGCTCTCCCTTCCCACTGATCTCCAATTGATTCGCCTTCTGCCTTCCTTAGAACCACGCAAAGAACACAAAGCTACGAAGCGGTTGGATTTCGTCCGATGCATCTTCAGAAGCAGCGATTAGAAGCGTAAAGCCATGAATATTTGCCTCCAGGTATCTTCTTGAACTTTGCTTCTTTGCCTCAGTTCTTTTCTTCTTCTCTCTCTCTCTCAATTCTATTTCTGTTTCAGGCGCCTTCGTCCTTGTCCTAATTGCAATGGTGAGAATGTATTGAACGTTGTCGTTGCTATGCAGAAGTTGTCCCTTGTTGAAGAAAATTACAGTGAGGTTGGAGGATGCAATTCACCGATGAAGAATACTGACATCGATGAAGATTATGTGGTGTAAAATGCAGAAACTGTGAATTGTGGTGTTGCAGAGAAACGTTGAAACTCTTGATGATGAAGATATTTGAAGAAGGTAAAACTTCTTGAATGAAGATGATGGTGCGTGAAGTCCATAGAAATCCAGGGAGGAACCAGAGAGAAGATGGTGTAGAACTAATAGAAGAACCTAGCAGAAGAAGGTGAAGGTGAAGGGTAAAGTTTGGGAGAGGAAGAAGAGAGAATTTCAAAGAGAGAAAGAGAATTGAAGTTCTGAGCTCTTGTCTTTCTTTTGGAAAATGGAAGAATCCTTATCTAATGTGAGTTTTTTGTTATATATTTCTGTTAGAATGAATGATGTGAATCTCTCTCCCCTTCTATTCCAGCTTGTTATCCTCTTTTCTTTTTCTGTTGAGAAGTTGTTAGAAGTTAGTTACAGGTTAGGTTGACAGTTAGGGAGTTAGCTGAGTTAGCTGGTAATTGGTTCGTTGGAAGTTAGTTGGAGGGATATATGATGGTTAAGTTTTTGCTGGAATTGTTATTATGTTAGTAAAGTAGAACAATTTGTTAACTATTATTTTCAGTTGTGAAAAGTTGTTTTGGAAGGCTGGTTGCAGTTAGTTATTCTTCTGTTTTTTCTGTTATTGGCTGAACTGACAAATAGTTATCCAAAAAGGCCTTTTACACTTTTTCTTACAACCTACTTCCATTCTATTTCTTACTTCTAATTTTTCTAGTTGGACGGTCTTCTAACTATATTCTTTTACCAAGTGGAGTGTGCAATCTCAAGAGAATCATTTTCAATGGCATGGTAAATGTCATTTCAAATGTTGTAGCATTTTTAAAGGAGTCAAAGCTTGGAAAGAGAGAAAGCTGAAAGATAACGTGTATCTCTCCTATAGTGAGTGCTTCACTTTTACTAAGGGTGATCTTATCTTATTCACAAAACACTTTCATTGATTGAAGTGTTGTTACAAGAAAAGTTTCTTTACATTCTAAGTAACTTTCCTTGTATTTGAAGACCTTACAACCTCACCATCCTCACAAGCTGCTTTTCAACATTGCTGATGCAAAAGAAAACTCTTATGTTGAATCTCAAGAAGGAAGTGGGTTCTGGTTCAAAGAAAGTAGTGTTCAACACTTTTACACATGTTGTAAAATCTACTGGAACATCTAGGACAGGGAAAACATATAATCAAGGTGAATTCCCTCAAGAAGAATCATGTGATCCTACATAATTAACTGATCAAGATTGAGTATGTGGGATAGCTGTTATATACTATCTGTTATCAAAATAATAAATAAAAAAATAGAAGAAAAAAAGGTGTGTTTGTTTTATGTTTTATTGAGTCAGTCTTATAGAGTCTTGATTTCTCTTCTTTTTTTTCTTTCATATAGGTTGTCTCTTTGAAGAGACTTAGTTTTGTTTGAGTGAGTCATTTTTTTTCTTTTTACCCTTAGCTCTTATCTCTTTGTGTGAGTATTATTTTTCTTCCTTTTGAGTCAGTTATATACAATTAGTCATTGTTGTATCTTGTGCTCTGAGTTATGTGTGTTACTTTTGTTCCATATGCTGCTCATTTGTTGTGTTCTTGAGGGGGACATTTATCTCTCTGTGTCAAGAGTTGGTTATGTGTTTAAGGGACAGTAATATCCATATTATTCCTCGTGTACACATTTTACATGATCAATATGTAGATGGTGTTGTGTAACTGATGTATCTTTGATACATTTCTGTGCAATTTGGTTTGTGGTTTTATTCCTCTGTGGTTTTATTCATCTCTCCAGACTTTGTTTTTGGGTTTTGGTTGTTTTAAAAAAAAATTGCCAAAGGGGGAGATTGTTAGTTCCATGTCTCTATGGTTGGCTAAATTTTGGCTAAGCATGATTCTGAACATGGTTTTATGTTATTGTTGAGTAAGATGTTACAGCATCTTTATGAACTGTCATAACAGTTCTATTTTTATGTGTTTTCAGTCAGATGTCGAAGGTAGATGTCATGACATCTTGATCTGGTAATGCAGTACAACAAGCAATGTTGTTTTAAATCTTGACACATTTACTTTGATTCTGGAATATTTCTTTTGGATATGTTTAAGTGATTTTTTCATGTCAAGAAGATTTGTTTTGGAACATGTTTTATATCTCCAACTGTGCATTAGTTACTAAATTGGGCCTTGAGACAATTTAGGAAACTTTGTATTGTATGTTCCAAGATTTAAGGAGATTTTGCTATACAACGGATAAAAGTTTCAGCTTGCGGATCAAGAAATATCTTATGGAGATTTCAAATCCCATGGATTGAAGAAGTGTATTTAAAGAGAAGACCTAACCTAATGTAATTTAAGTTTTCAACAATTATAAAATTAGGGGAAGCATAAGTCTTAGGTTTTGAGAGTCTCTCATGTATTGTATGGAGTGTAAGTCACCCTTGTATCTTTTGATACTTGTGCTTGACATTATGTTCTGACTCAGAAGCCTGAGTTGAGTATTGTTCTTGTATGAAGCTTCTAAGAAAATTCAAGTATTGTTATTGGTCAAGAGTCTTGGCTAATATTTGTAATGGAAGTATGATCTTATATTTATAATGGAAGTATGATCTTCTATGTAATGGAAGTATGGTCTTATACTTGTAATGGAAGTATGATATTCTCGTTGAGTTAGAATCAATATAGTCACTGGGATTGGGACTGTTAGATATCACTGAGGTGATTTGGAAGTGAGATGGATATTTCTCATATTTAGGGAGGACCTAGGTAGAAGTTGCATTGGGTAGGAATTAGGAGAGAAGTTGTAAACGAGAGAGTTTAGCTTTGAACTAATATTGCTGATAGTGGACTTCCTTCCTGGCTTGGTAGCCTCCAGATGTAGGTGAGTTTGCATCTAACTGGGTTAACAACTCAATCTGTTATTTATCATTTTGCAGTTTTAATTTCAGTATTCTTTGATAACTTGATGAATCTGTTCAGGGTGTCAAATCAGATGTCGTAACATCTGTATTGACATTGTTCTGATGTTTAAAAGTTAGTATTACCATGTGTTTCCTGTACCATAGAAATTTCATTTGTAATGCAGATTATTCTAGAGATGAAATAGAACGTAAAATCACTTCTGGAAACTGTCATATTCTAGGTGACAATCTCATCTCTTGGTCAAGAAAAACGCAATCAACTATTACACTATCAACTGCTGAAGTAGAATATATATATATATATATATATATATATATATATATATATATATATATATATATATATATATATATATATCATCACTTTGTATCACTAAGATGCTCTGGATGAAAAGTCAACTTGAAGACTTCTAGATATACAAGAGTAACATCCCTATCTTTTGTGATAACACAACTGCTATCTTCCTAAGTAAGAATCCTATTTTACACTTTAGAGCTAAACACATAGAAATCAAACATCATTTTATTTGAGACTATATTCAGAAAGGGATTCTCATTTTAAAATTCATAAATACAGACCATCAATGGGATGATATCTTCACAAAACCCTTAGCTGAAGATAGATTTCTATTCATTCTAAAACATTTAAAAATGGTATTTTGTCCAGAATGAAATATTTCTTAAATATGTATTTTACTACTTTTATGAAAAATATGATCATGACTATGCTTAAATAGTTCATTATTTAAATTTGTTTTTGAGATACTTCTACAAGTTAGAAGATGTCATGGTCAGAAACATCTCAAGTCAGAAACCTTTTGACTTTATTGACTTTGAGAACATCAACTTGTGTACCTTCAAACAAATGGTCTTTTATGCACCGTTTGAATAACACCTCGGGCAGTGGGAAATTGTTTTGAGATTAGATAAAAAATTTACGTTTTCACTCCTATCAATTTTTAATTAAGGAACTGTTGAGACAATTTTTTGTTGAAAATAAATTTTGTTAGCACGACCTATCTGTTTTCATGTTTCTTTTGTCCTCTTGTATTCATTTTCCCTGACAATTATCTTAAAAATGATGGTGGTCCTTTATTCTCTCCAGTCTCTAGCTCAGGCAGTATCTGCTTTGAGTCTTTCGAGTCTAATTGCCTTTTGAAGGAAATCAATTCTCTTGTCAATTACGTTTTTCCTCACCTATATATATTCCCTTCTTATTCCATCTCACTCTTCATATCTCATTCTGTCTCATTACAAAATTCTTCTCACAAAGCTATCTTCATATCTTCTAAAACCTTCTATGAAAATGAGGATCTTTTAGAGGTCATTCATGAAGTTCGTCGAAATTTTTATAGCCCAAGAGTTGCAGGTTTTGACATGACTTCAAGCATATAAGCTCAGGGTTGGTATGGGTACTTTGCAATGCTACATGGACCAATTTATCCTAATTTGGTCAAAGCCTTTTGGAAGTTTTCTTTTGTGAGTGATCATGGTAAATCCACTGATTCAAGTGTTTTCAGATTTCCTATTGTCAGCACTCCTACCTCCATTGTTGGGGCTATAAGTTGTGTCGAAAATGGTAGTCTCAATGTGGAACAGTTTAGTCTTAAGTATACCTTTGTGGAGAAGCTTGTATCTATCCACGACATGTCCTCTTCCAAATATGAGCCCACAAATCTATTAAAGCTTCTTCCCTTTGCTAAAGTCCGCATTCACCCTCTTCTAACAAACTTTCGACCTTGAGAAGAAAGCCTGAACTTTATGTATGAAGATGACAAGATTTTCATTTAGTTTCTGCTCGCTGATGTTAACTTCAACTTGCCCCAAACAATCTTCAATTTTCTAAAGGAGTTTGGTTTTCTCTCCAGAAGCAGATATAAATCCTTCATAACTTTTGGACGAGTTATGTCTGAACTTTTCTATAAGACGGATATGATGCAATTCATTCAGTTGGTTGGACTGGAAAACACTCTTGAAGAAGTCAAATGTGAAGTCTTTAGAGCATAAGTTTTTTTGACGGTTCTGGTCTTGTTGTTTTTCTTTTGTTTTTTGTGTCTTGTTTGTACTTTTCTCAAATTATCAATGAAAGTCTCTTTCTTTTAAACTTGTTTTTTCTCTATCTTGTTTTTGGACTTAGAAAAAGCGTGCTATACATATTTAAAACACAAATTATGTTTCTAATTTTTTTTAATCTTTTTTATTTTAACAAAAAGGGGGAGAAAAATAGTGATGATTTTGATTCATATCTAAATCTCATTGCTTACATTCTAACAAAATATAGACGCAAGATTGTTTAGAATGTTATTTCAGGAACACACTGATAAGCGAATGAATCAAGCTCAGATATAGAACTTCTATTTTTTAGAAGGTTCTGATAAATCAACTTCTATTGTT